TTTTTTTTTTTTTTTTTTTTTTAATAAATTGTTTTATCGAGATCCAGTTCAAACCATGCAACAATTTGGAGTGTAGCTGTTGTATTTGGGGTTGGTTTGTTTGTTTTCCCAAACAACCTGTTTGACTTTGTTGTTTGTATGGGCTGAACATGCAAGGAGCCAGATGAAATGGAAGGGAATTAGGTGAGTACAGCTGGCGAGATAGGTAGACAAATAGCTTTTCCACAGTGCTCAGCACCACTATTTTGAGGTGGTATGTAATCAGGGTTACTGAGCTTTTTTTGCAAATCGGGGGGTGCTGAGAGCTTATATGTTGCCTACTGAATTCTCTAAGCAATGATTACTTTGTTTCTCGGTGTTACTCTGTATTAGACACTGTAACAAGCCAGAATGGAGTTTTGACATTTCAGATCTCCTCCAAATGAAGCTAAAGATTTCATTATACTTTTACCATGATAGTGTCTCGCAGTCCATTACTCTCTACTCGAGAAGGCAATGGATTTCCTCTGATCCTAATTCCTCTATTTGCTAGATAACTCCACACATTTTCTTGCAGGTATTATTTACGTGAAAAATGTAAAAATTAACTGAATCTAAAAACCATTGTGGATGCAGCATCTGACCCATATTTTACCTGATTCTCAGTTCCATACCATTGTGATTCTCCTTCAGAACAATATCCTTTAATCTAATCTTACAGTCTTGCATAAATTGGAAAGGACATTGACTTTCATAACTCCAAGTGCACACCAGCTGAGCTGGTTTTGGGATTTTTAATCTTTATTTAGGAGGTTAAAATGAAAAGCAAATGTTTCTACATTGGTAGCCTAGGGGGTTCATTCCAATAGGGTGGCAGGAATTAGTTGGTTACATTTGGGTATCCTTTACCCTACCTTCTTTGATTTTTGCATTTGCTCATAGGCTACATATTCAAAATACTTCTGCCAGTTTTTTAGTTGTTTTGGCTGTGGTTTTTTTTTTAATTAATACTGAAGAGAGGCATAGGGGACGTGGTCCTGCTATCTTTCCTTGCATAGACAGTCCCTGCATGCTTCCGACTCACTGAAATGAGTGAGATTGTCCTTAGCATTGCTCTTAATGAACGTACAGCAATGGAATGTCTGTTCTGCTCTAATCTTACGCTTCACGTTGAAATGATGAGTAGACACATTAAAAATCAAGGCTAAAGGGCCATTCCTCTGTCTCTGTGAGAAGAAAAGGTATAATCACAAGCCATGTTCTTAGGGGACACTGGTATCAGAATTCAAAATAACCTCTTTTCTCTTTTTTACTTACACATTCTCCTGAAGTGTTGTCTTTAAAAGTCATATTGTACTGTTGCTATTCAAGTCAACATAGTTGCTGAGAGGCTGTGATAAGCTCACTTATAATAACTTACATTTCTTTAAATACATACAGTTACTATGTCTGGCATCAGTGGGTATCCAGTGTCATATGCTGCCTTCTTTGCAGAAGTATAGCAGCAATGCCTTTGTTTCCAAAATTGACAGGGTAGTACAGTTGCTTCCTGCGACTCCTCTGGTGTGATGAAGCTCTGGGACATTCGGAAGTCAGCACATATCTGTAGATGCAGGCCCGCATCCTGCCAACCAGATCATCTTTGATCATTCTGTTAGGATTCTAAAACAACTTTTTCTACCTAAGACGTGGTTTATTTTGAAATATCTCTAATCGCTCTCTGATTCTGAAGCCAGATAGCATGTGTGAAACAGCATAGATGTGTTAATTTTAAAGAACAGATGCCTGATTGTACCAGTGATCAATACATTTGTTTTCTATGACTAGACTGGCAAATCGGACTAATGGCCCAGTTATATAAAATGAAAAATGTGTAATAACAAAAAGTGCAATTAATTGCAGAAATATTACATAAAATACAGAATTGATCACTGGGGGTAAGAAACTTCTCAAGATTACTTATGTTCTTGTGATGTTTATTCTCCATTACTGTTTGTTCTTTTATTTGCTAATTGTATAGTTGTATTTCATAAACAGTCTTACTAAATCCTCTTATAATTGCCTCAGAACTTCATTGTGTTGACGGGACTGCTTACTCTGCACAAAGAATTAAAGTAACCAGTTATTTTTCATCATCAACCATGTATTACCATGTCAGCAATATTGTGAGTGAACATGCATTTTTGTTTGAAGAGGGGCTGTTCTAAAAGATTTTTTTGTTTGTTTTAAAACCAGTATTCATCTTCAATTCCAAAGCATGGGCAAGCATTCATGTTGCACCACAGAATTAGATCCTATCTTAGGAAATCATTAATATTCAAAGGTAGTATGACATGACATGACATGACATGACATGACATGATGATACGTAGGTATATTGAAATATATGTATACATTTGCGTTATGTGCATAAAATATAATGCTTCAATAGAATATGAGAGATAATTAAGGAATCATTAAACAAAAATAATAGTATGATATTTTGTCATAATGACCCACATATTGCAAAATGCTTAATATCACTGTATTGAGTCACTTTGCAGAAAACTTTGCCATCACATTCTATATTATTTTTCTGGTGATTCCACAGATCTCTATGCTGTACTATTAAATAGGGTATTTTCTCTTCCAAGGGAAAAAGAATGCATTGACACTGTCCATTTTTGACAGCTTCCCAAAGACAAATTCAACCACTATTCTATTTATATGTGTGATTTGGAATAAGAGCTCATTTTTTGTTCAGTAGGACTTTAAGAAGTTTGGCATTTTTGTTCTGGAGTGTAATGTTGGGTCATTTGCAAAGGATTTGCATCCCTGAAAAATGCTGTAGCAATATTTCTAGCCAGATGGGAACTTTCCAGTAGAAAGCTTATCAGCTTCAGGTAACCTAAATGGGCAAATTTTTACATCATTTGGATAAAATCCAAAATTTTCTCTGCAGGAGTAACCACACAACAGAGATATCAAATTGGGATGGATGATCATAATGAGGCATAATGCAACAGGATGCAATCACACCTAGCTAAAGACAGGAAAATAGCTAGCTAAAAGAGACTATAGCAATTGCTGTTGTTTGAGAGAGATGGTGCCTGCGTCACCTCACTAGGGACAGAGGGCAAGACATACCAAGCACTGTCCACATACACAGACTGAAAAGGCAATGCCTGTTCTGAATAGGTACCTTGTAGACATACAAGCATACTAATAGCTGTCATATTTGTTATGAAGCAGTATTTACTTGTTGAGTGGCTGGCAAGGAATGCATTTTCTGAGCTGCATCTGGGGAGGAATAATGAGAGACTGTTTAGCAAATCTGGCTTTGCTTGGGTGCAGCTGGTTTGGTTACTGCTGGCAGTGCAGGGTGGGACCCAGTCTGAGGTGAGTATCTCTGCACCCCTGGGTCTGTGGATGTTTAACTCATGTTGACACCATGTAGTCATAGCTTTTTTTTGCTAATACCAGAGTTGTCAAGCTGACTAAACTAGAGTTAGCCTGAGTAATTCTGAAATGGTCCTTGATACATCAATGAGAGGGGATGAGTGACATGCTTGTCTGCAACAGCAGAGGGCTGGATCAAATGATCCAGCAGGTTCCTGTATTGTTTGTTTAAACAGTAATTCATGGATTTAGTCAATCTAAACCATTCATTTGAGTGGAGTTAACTAAAAATAATAACTATGTTGAAATAAGTCAAACAGAATACTCAAAAAATAAGTAATGATGGGAGAATATATCCTGTGTTTAACTAACAGCCGGTTGGGCATGGGACATCTGTTTCATTTGGGACCTCTGTCTGTGGAGAAGCTTGGGTGCATTTTTCTGACCTTATCAAAGTGTGGCTTAATTTCCATCTGTATCCCTCAGTCTCTCTTGGTGATGTTATACCACCTAGTGTAAAATATTAAAGTCATAGACACTGGAAACAAATTGTTCAGCGTCTTACAGGTGGATTTAATTAGTAGATTAGAGAGCCATGGTTGAGAAGTTTTTTTTCTTCTGCCTAGTAATTATATAAATTATAGCTAATAATGACAGAAGGGGTTTATGAAAAGTTTGATGGTATTGGCAAAAGAGATTGAGGTCAGAAATAGTAAGGCCGAAACTAATGGGAGATTTTTGTTTGGTTTTCCTTTGTATTGTTTTCAAGTAATTATCATTGCAAATGTAATATAGACAAGCACATCTTATCTTTTGTTTTTAAGGGGTACCGTGGTTTGTCAGTATGACATGCACTGGATGGAAATTGCTTAACAAAGAACTAGTACGGAGAATGAGTTTGTAAATTACTGGGATTCTCCTGATGGCACCACTGGGGTCCTTGCTAACTCTAGTGATGCAAATGCTATTCATGGCATAAATGCTTGACCATAAAGCCATTTGCTGCTTTATTAGAGCCACACTCAGATCTTAAATAAGTTAATGAAAATAGTTTTGTATCAATCTTTCTGCTTTAGCTACACTATGCCTTACCTTTTATTTTAGCTCAGTTTAGATGTGGACTTTTCGATACAGCATACTTGTGAACGATGAGCAATTAATTAAATTATTAATTACCATTGCACTCTATGTGGATTTTCTTCTTCCCCCCAGTCTTTCTGAAACTAGCTTGTGGTCTTGCACTGAGAGGTGGTGATGGAGCTGGCCAGGACTCTGTCCACTGGGGACAATGATCTTCGATATGATGCTTAATGTCAGAAATAGAAAGGAAGATGTCCTTTGAATTCTGTGTGCTGTAGATGGCCTCAGAGGAAGGACCAGGTGTGCTTACTGTGCTAGATGTACCCCAGTGTAACTGATTTTTAAACTAAATTTTTTATTTTTTCATACGAAAGTTAACCACCATCTCCGTGTGCTTGTATTCTTATGTAGCATTCATGAATCCCTTAAACATTCTCTTGTCATCACCTTTTGTGTTTCCAGTTGCTGTTTAGAAAATGTACTTGATATGATTAATCACAACATAGCCATGTGTACATGTTAGAGAAACTGTAGAGGATTCTATCTTGTATGCTGCAATGTATTTATTTATTATCATAATGTATTAAAAAAAACCAAACCAAGCAAACCCCACTACAACAGCAACAGTCCAAAATCAATAGCAGTAACAAGAAGGCCAAGAGAAAGCAAAAAATATATAGAAAATTATACTGCTGTATTTTGAGATCTGGAGATCTTGCATCCAAGCTGGGCAGTGTTGCTCTCAGTGTTGAAGAGCTGAATTCTTCAGCCAGAACATGAATAAATAGTCTTACAATGCCTCTGAACATCTCAAAGGACAATACATACATATTTTATTTAGAGGGAGAGTATATTAAAAGAATGTAAAGGTTGTAAATTTATGTGAAAGTTGAGAAATGCTAGGATCAAGATTACCTCATGATAGAAGGGGTTTATTTTAGGAGATAGGAATTCTGAGGATGCAGGAAACACACTGTTTTAGGGAGTGATTATTGAACAAGTGGTACCACTGTCAACCACGGTGGGGTCAGGGTAACTGCTCGGTGTTGCTATCTAAAAGAAAGCTTAATTTGCTTAATTATACATCACAGGACATTACACAGGATCGTTACCAGGAGACAGCCACTAGTCCAATGTGTTACAATTGTTTTCTGTTAGCCTGGAGTTGGTTTTGGTGTTAAATAGTGGTCTAAAGAATTTATTTATCTGTATTATTAACCATCATTTACTGAACACAGATTTATTGAGGCGATTTCCTGGGATGCCATTGCTGAAACATTTTAAATATTTGCACTTGACATTATTTTGGCTATTACTTATAATATTAAATAATTATTAATATTACTGATAATATTAAAGCCACAGGTGATCTACACAGGCCTCATAAGGGATGGAACATAGAGATTAAACCTCAGATTGTTAGAATTTCTGCTGATATTGAGTCTTCAGGTAAAGTTCCAGAACTACAGTCTTCAGATTCCTTAGCTGGTAACAATTTCTGTGCTCAGAACAGAAATGGCAGAAATAGTCCTTGTAAATTGAGGGGAAAGTTCAGAAGTATAAATTGTATTTTTAAATTCATATGTGTCTAGTTGAGTATATATTCTGTTTCTTAAAGGTAGCATAAATAATATTGATTTATTATGTGGCAGTCTCATTTACTTAAGAGGTTTGATCTTGCAGTGAGGTGCCTACTCAATTTTCTCTTTGATTTTCTCAATTTTGGTTGGTATATTGGCTGCAAAGACGAGCCAGCATTGAGGTACCAGTTGTCTATCTTTTCTCCTTCTTTCCTTTACATTTTTGGTTAATTGATACTGCTTAAGTGGCACAGAGTAGATAAAGTTTCACCTCCAGGTGGGGATGCAAGAAGTTCTCCTCTCCTGAGAAGCTATACAGTGGATTTTGCAATTGGCAGTAGGATGTGGGGAGAGCAGGGGGATGCGCCTGCACCTCTGGGATCTCAGAAGGGGACTGTGCGTGTCCGGGTATCTAGAGAACCGGAGCAGGACTCTCTCTCACTTTTTCTGCATTCTCTGAAGCTTGCTTTTTGTATTTGTCTCCCTCTTGCTTACAGTTAAAGGCATGCTTGATGGGAGAAAAATTTTCTAGTGCAGAATTTACCACAGTAATCTTTTTAGGAGCATCTGGTTTTGTCCATATAGTGCAATTATCTGCTGACATTAATGTGTGTTTTTCCCTATGACCCCCATTTCTGACTATAAAGCTTTTTCCATTACAACACTTCATTGCTC